GGGACAAAATTGTCTTTCTTGTAACTTAAGTTTTATGTATAAAAGTCAAGTGGGTCGGCTAGGAGAGTGACTTCAGAACATCCTCTCTTCTAGTCTGGCCGAATACTTTTCTCCTCTCCTTCTTCTTTCTCTTTTCTTTCTTCTTTCTTCTTCTCTACTTTGACCTAGAAACAACTAGGGTTTATTCACAAGATGGAAGCAAAAGAGGGATCTAAAAGAGGTACTACTGCGAGAAGAAATCTCTTGGAGGCAAAAATCTAGATGCAAATGGATTAAGGAAAGTGATGGAAACACTAATTCTTCCATGAGATGGCCAATGGGAGGAGGAAAAATCTAGTGAATAAACTTGAAGTGGATGGAGTAACTTACGAATCTCAAGAGGAGATGGCCAATTGTTTTGTTGCCCACTTCAAATCTATTCTAAGGGGCCTCTAGGTAATAGGGTGGAGTTGGAAGGTCACTTGGCCAAGACTTTATGGCTCCATTTGGAAGGAATACAAATACAAATATGTAGAGCGCAAAACCTTGTATTTTGTGTTATTTTGTATGTATTTGTACTGTACATATTTGTATTTGTACTCCTTCCAAACTGAGCCTATGAGGAAAATAAATGGTTGGAAAGGAACTTTGAGGAGGGCGAAATTAGATGTGCTATTTTCTCTATGGATAGATCTAAAGCACCATGGCCAAATGGATTTACTATGGCTGTCTTTAAAAATTGTTGGAATATTATTAAAGAAGATTTGTTAGAGGCCTTTAGAGAGTTTGAGGAAAGTTCAATAATAAGTCGAGTAGTTAATGCTACTTTTCTAACCCTAATTACAAAGAAGAAAGAGGTCATTCATTCAAAAGACTTTAGACTTATCAGTTTAGTGATTAGCATTTACAAGATTCTGGCCAAGGTCTTGTTGTTGAGGATTAAAGAGGTGCTCCCTTCAATCATCAGCCAAGCCCAAGGTGCCTTTGTTCACGAGAGGCAAATAATTGACCAAATTTTAATAGCAAATGAATGTGTGGAGGAGATGCGAAAATCGGGTAATCAAGGCTTCGTTTGTAAATTGGATCTCGAAAAGGCCAATGATTTAGTGGACTGGAGTTCCTTGTTAGAGGTGCTCAAGCAGTATGGGTTTAGGGACAGATGTGGTAGACTTTTATCAAAAGCGTTTGGTAGGGGCCTAAGACAAGGTGACCCACTATCCCCCTTCTTATTCACTTTGGTTGCTGATGCGTTTGGTAGGCTTTTATCAGAAGTAGATAGGGTTGGGTTATTAAGAGGCTAGAAAATAGGTAAAAATAGAATTCCGGTAACCCACCTTCAGTTTGCGGACGACATTATCATCTTTTGAGGATTGTGACTTGGTGAAAGTGAGAAACTTGAAGAATTTGATTATCCTCTTTGAAAGCACCTCTAACTTGCAAATCAATTTTGAAAAGAGTTGTTTGGTTGGACTAAACTTGGATGAAGGGGTATTGGATATTATTGCTGCATGCTTAGATTGCACCTTCCGAGTGGCCTTTGACCTAACTAAGACTTCCCCTAGGTGCCAACCCAAAGGAAAGTTGGTTTTGGAACCCCGTGGTGGAAAAGTTTGAAAAAAGATTGGCGGCTTGGAGGAGGAACTACATTCCTTTAGGGGGCAAAGTGACTTTAGTAAACGCTACACTTAATCTGCCAATCTACTTTCTGTCAATCTTTAGGATACCTAATAGGGAAGCAAAGAGGATTGAAAAATTGATGAGAGACTTCCTATGGGATCTAGGGGAAGGAAAAAAGGATTACTTGATCAGCTAGGAAGTAGTGAATCAGCTGGGAAGTAGTGAGCTGAATTAAAAAAGAAGGGGGGATAAGGCTAGGACAGATAGGAAGAACAAAACTCTTCTAGGTAGGCTTTGGAGGTGGCCCTTGGAAAGAGAGAGGTTATGGAATGAGGTGGTGGGTAGCATTCAAGGCTGTTCTGAGACTGGTTGAGATGTAGGGGTATCTCGACGGGCTTTGCTCGCAACCCCTTGGAAGGCCATTTCAGGCACCCTCCCTAATTTCCTCAGGTATGTAAGGTATGATTTCGTCTTTGGTAATTCTTTTATTTTTTGGAACGATATTTGGGTGGGCTCTCAACCTCTAAAAAATTGCTTCCCCTACTTGTACTCTATCTCCCTCTTTAAAAATGAGCATGTTCCAAGATTTCTTTCACCCCCAGTTCTCCCCTTGTCTTTGAATTGGAATTTTGGGTTTTGTAGAGATTTAAGTGAGGAATCTGCTTGTGTCTCTGATCCCTTGCTTCTTTTGGACTTTGTTTGTTTGGATCTCTCTATACCTGATAGAAGAATTTGGACTCTTAACTCCTAATGGTTCCCTTACTTGTGCTTCTTATCTTAAGTCCCTATATTCTGCCCCTCTCTCCTTGGAGTTCCTTGTCAAAGAAATCTAGTCAAGGCTCATTCCCCCTAGAGTAGTTGTTTTTGCTGGGAAGCCTATTATGGTAAGATCAATTCTATGGATAACCTGCAAAAGAAGAGACCTTTTCTTTGTATATCTCCAAACTGGTGTATTTTGTCTAAAATGCATAACGAGGATCACCATCACTTGTTGTTATCTTGTTCTTTTGCTGCTAATAATTGGAATTGGGTGTTTATGTTGTTTGGGTGCAGGTGGATCTTGCCCTCTGAAGTAAACCTGCTTTTTGATCTGTCTACTTTTGGGCAGCCAACTAAGATAGGGAAACTAATGTGGAAGTGCATCAGAGCAGCCATTTTGTGGACTATTTGGGAGGAAAGGAATTCTAGAATATTCCAGGAAAAGGAAAGAAGTATCGATGAAGTTAAGAAGTGCATTTTGACAAGAACAATTCAATGGCTAATAACTTTAGATCTGTTTAGAGGATATTCTTTTGATGATCTCTGGAAAAATTGGGCAGAGATGGCTTCCACAATCCCCAAAAAGAATAGACTACAGATAGAGTGGAGACATCTTTCAGGACTAGTGGGAGTTGATGATTCAACAAGGGCTGAGATACTGGCTGTGGTGCAAGGCATACGGATTGCAAATCAACTAGGTGTGGAAAATCTGATAATTGAGGGATATTCTTAAGAAAGTTAATTGGTTTACAAGGAATATGTCAGTCACTTATCAGTGGGTCAGCAGATCAGTAAATGCCATGGTTGATTCTTTGGCAAAACAAGGGGTCTCAAGGGTTGAATTATTTTTCTGCTACTCTATGATTGTATTCTGTTAAGAATTTGTTTTATGCTCTCACCTCTAAGGGGAGGTAACATCTTGTGCCTCCTCTTAGGGTGAATGTCCACGTCCTTTCTTATTATTAATAAAATCTTTATTCATTTATCAAAAAAAACCTTATGTATTTTGTTTTCTATTTTATGTATCACTTTTTTCCAAGGTTTCAAACGTCGGTGTTAGTGGAAATATCGGTCACCCAATATAGGAAACATGTTGGAAATGCCATATGGAAATATTGTAAAAATTCTAAACATGGTGGAAACATTGTGAAATATGTAAATATATAGAATCTATGTTTACATTGTGAAATGTGTGGTGTGTTTATTCCAATTGGGCTTTTGCTGAGTTGGTCCGTGTTTGTCTTGATTGGTATCTGGTTTGTTGGTTTCTTGGGCCTGGATTGGTCTCCTTGTTGGCATGAATCTTGACATTTTTTGGGTTTTCTAGGTTTATATGGTTTATTTGGTGTTTTGGGTCTTTGTTTTAGTGTCATGGCTGTGATAGCCCTCAGCTGCTCTTTTAGTATACACCTCATATGGTTTTTTGCTTTTTTCAATAATTAATACCTTACCTTTCTCAAATATATATATATATATATATATATATATATCAATGTTTTAAAATGTGGAGGCATGACGTGAGTTGTTCCACTACGTAGAGGCGTGAGGCACGCCTCCACGTTATCTAGTAATAAAACTGCTACTCCACATTATCTAAAATAAAGTCACCAACTTATGATAACTATCTTTTGTACTCCATATTGCAGCAGTAGCTTTCATTGGGGAATCTGTCAATTCTAGTAATATACTGTTTCAATACCCATGGAAATGGAAATATGTAGTGGAAATATTAGGACATTATGGACATTTTAAACCATGCTTTTCTCTGGTAGTGTACTCAGTCCTTGCAAGATTAATATGCTACTCTGTGCACTTTTTTCTTGTCCTGAACTGACTTTTTTGGACTTCATTATTTAATAAAAATACCATTCTCACCAATTTCTGATGTAGGGAATCTCATGGCCACCATGATCATGAATCTTACTATGGAGATCGAGATACAGACAGTCTTGTTACGGTATGCCTAATCTTTAGTCCTAGTTTACAGTACCCTTCCAAGTTTGATAATATCATACAAGTTAATCTTTTTTCTATTGGTAGCTAATCAGAACTTTATTAGATAGCTCTAGTACCTTCCTAAGGTGCAATAAAGCTACCAAGAACTACCCACATTACCCATCAAGCCAACAATCAGCAAGACTAACATGATAACCCAAGGGTATTTACCCCAATACAAATACTATTTATTCTATACCTCTCTAGAAAGTTCGTAGGCAATGGAATTGACCAATTTGGGAATCCAGAAGCAGCTAGTGTTTAAGCTGGAAGTTGTCAAGTGCCATCTTCTTCTTTCTATGCTAACTTATAATTGCCCGAGTCCCCTTCCACTAGGAGATTCCGATTACCCCAAGGATCTTCCTAATCTCAAACCTTGGAGAATAAGTTGCATCTCCTTTCATATTTGATTCCTGACCCCAGTAAGACCTGAATACACCTGCAATGTCATCGTAGGCAATGGAAGTTTTGGTTGCACCTCTTCATATGGAGTCTCATAGGCTTGCTTTGGAGAAAAATTCTTCCAACACAACAGATAATGCAAAGAGGCCTGCACCATTGGCAGGAGGATGTAGAATTGAAGGTTTTGTGCGTGTTAAGAAGGTAAAATGTGTTTCATTTAGTGTTTTTAGTTCACTATATGTGTTAATAAATGTTAAGTATTTATTATTGTTGGGTGTCTAATTTTTTTCACCAACTCCCTGTTGTCATTGACATTCTTTGCTTGTATGAAAAAAGCATGTTATTATTTATGGATGGCCTTATGTGTAAGTTGTCTTCTAATTAACTCCTTTGAAGCTCGCTATTTTTCCCTTATCATCTCAACTTTTTTTTTTCTTGAATACCTGAAGGATCAGGCTGTTTGACCTATGAACTAGTTGTATTCTTATCTTGGAAGACAAAGACCTGATTTTAAGCTTCCATTTCATTATGAAGGTTCCAGGCAACCTTGTAATCTCAGCACATTCAACAAGTCACTCTTTTGATGCTTCTCAAATGAACATGTCACATGTGATCTCTCATCTTTCATTTGGAAAGAAGATTTCCCCCAGGGTGATGAATGAATTGAGACGGGTAATTCCTTATATTGGTGGAAGCATTGATCGGTTGAATGGTCGAGCATACATTAGCCATGTTGAGGATGCGAATGCAAATGTTACTGTAAGTTATAAGATTTCCCTTATCTTTGTTTACCATTAATTATTCTGTTAGTCATTTTTTGAATTTTTTTTTCTGTGAATATGCAGCCGTTTCCCATAACTTAATGACTTGCTGGCTCTGGTAGAAATATTACCTGGAATAGAACTTTCCTTCTTCTGATTGAATACAAAGCAAAAACTTATTGATATAAAGGAAAAAAATCTTCTCCCAAATTAGGGATAAGAGAGCCAGTGCAACACAAGGCTCATGGCTGACCCCTTATGTTGTATGTATAAAACCACTATTTTCCAATAAGAATAAATCAGTATTTTACAAAATTCCCATGGGCCTGGTGCTCCTCAAATAAATGTATCTCCTTACTCTTCCCTAGAAAGTGAATCAGCAAAGCAATTGACAGATCTAGGGGCCCAATTGAATGAGCAATCCATGGTTGTTGCCAATGCTTTTTCTTCCCTTATCATGTGTCTGAAAATCTGAAGGCCTGAGGGTTTTGAGATGAACCAAGAACTAACCACTTGGAAATCACCCTCTATGATAAGTTTGTTGTAATTTGAGAAATTTTCCAATCTTAGTTCTTGCAGGAGTGCAATCATTTCTGCTCTTGAAGAATTCCCTTCACCTACTGGGCTTGAATTGATTCATAATTCTCCAGTTTCATTTCTTGTAACTCCAATTCCCAATTGACTGGGGTTACCATAGCAGCAATTATCATATCAGCCGTCATTCCCCTTTTAGGAGCAACCTAGAATGGGTCTTTGCTGCATTTGTTGAGTAAAACCTGCTACTATTGACCAGTTCCTTAGGATTGAATCCATTGTATCCTAGTCAGGATACAATTAGCCACTTTCACTTTAATACTACCTATTATGTCTTCCGTCTTGTCCACCTACAGCACCTATAAGAAGCGAATATGACATTAAACAGAATGGAATATGACATTAATTGAAGTAGTAAGAAATGATTTAAGCACTTTAACAGTGAATATGACATTAAACAGAATGGAATGATGATATCTTCCATCTTATGTGTCTTATCAAAACTTCTTCTATTCCTTTCACACTTTATGGTCCAAAGACATCTGCTTTTGTACATTGTCACAAAACTTTGCCTCTTTTTATGTATATGGATGACTAAGGATGAGGTTAATTCCAACACCTTTTTGGTAAGTAGCATACTAGCATTTTCCTCAGCAATTGTGTTTGACTCGTTGAATTTGTCACCATTTCTCCTAGACGTGATAGAAAGAAGCTGTGTTCCCACTCAAGTGGGTTTTACAACTAATTGGAGTGGCATTGGCACATCTGGTGTCCTTTGTTTTAGACCTTACCAGGCCTTAGTGTTTTAAAAGCGTAAGGCGCAAAAAAGGAGCAGGGGCCAATTTGGCCTGAGGCGCAAGGTGAGGTGTGTGCCTTTTTGAAGCAAGGTGCAAAATACAAAATAAATGCTAAAAAATAAAAAAAGAAGTAAAAAAATTGCAAAGAATAAAAAAATATTAAACATAATATTAATAAAAAATATGAACTTAAATTTCAAAATAAATGTTTTAAAAACCTATTATCTAAAATTAAAATGCATAAACATTCATAAAAAAAAATTAAAATACATAAACATAACATGTAAAGTGTATTCAAATGAAAATTTAAAAATAAAATCAAACATATAAACATTTTCAAGCATGTAAAATCCACGCCCCTCAACTGCGTTACTTCAAGTAGCTAATGTGATGTAAAACATATTACATTCCTGATTCTACGAGCCGCCTTTGTGCCACGCCCCTCAAGGCAAGCCCAAACGAGTCCATGTTAGGGTCTTAAATTCTTAGTTCTCAAACAAAAAATAACGATATTATAATTTAAATTGATTTTTAAGAAGTTATTTTATTAGGATGAAGGAATGAACAACATTAGCAAATAGGGGGTTCTCGAGGGGTATGGTATGGGGGTCTGGGGGCAGAGTCCCCAGCCCAGCCGCTAAGTTCAATAAAAGAAAAAAAAAAAAACGTCAAATTTTCAAAAGGCATGCCCGGGCTGAGGCAAAGGCGCATCAGGCGCACCAGGCGTGCGCTGCACCTAGGACCTAGGCGAGGCACATACCTTAAAATGCGCCTAGGTGCACCTCAGGCACGCCTTTTAAATCACTGCCAAGTCTCCACTTAATGGGTAGAACAATTGATTTCTACTCTGTATGTAGTGTTTCAGTTGTTGGGTAGAACCATTTTTTATAGGCTGCTAGATTAATGAATACTTCTTTCATCTCTAAAACCTTATTGGCATTGTCACCTCGTCACATGACATTGGATCACTATTATTTGGACATTCACAAATGTCTGCACGCCAATCTATATATCATAGGGATGAGGGTTCGACTCATTTATTAATCATGGATTTTTCTGGGCTAATTTGTACTACTAAGAATTGAGGGTTCGGATTGGGCTGAGAGCCTTGTAATTCAGCTATCTTTCTAGTTTAATATAAGTTTCTGATTTGCCTATCAAAAGAAAAAAAAAAAATCTATACATCATAGGGAAAATTTTCTGAGGTCCTTTGTTTCTCGTGCTAGAGGGGAGAGCATTGATGGGTCCTCCACAACTCCTAAATTTGATGACGGTACTACTTCCCATTGATCCCTGAGCTTGGATATTCCTTTATGTCAAACAAACAAATGAATGGAATGGGGAAAAAAAAAGGAAAATCTAGTCCAGTACTGTCAAGAATTCATGTAATGTTGGTCCTCATTGCATGTCCAGCATGGTTGCTTTGTGTCTTTGCCCCTTTAGGAGAGCCTGTGGAATAATATTTCAGAGTCCAGTAGAATCTAGGTATTTGCTGGAGCCTGGAATGCAACTAATATTTTGGTGCTATACACCAGGAACTACTGTAACATGAGCAGTACATGGATTTTGTAATTTTTTTCTTGCTTAGATGTAGATTTGCAAATGTATAACACTTGAATTTGCAGATTGAACACTATCTTCAAGTAGTAAAGACGGAAGTAATAACAAGAAGGGCTTCTCGAGAATATAAATTGGTCGAGGAATATGAATACACAGCCCACAGTAGTCTGGTTCACAGTATAAACATCCCTGTTGCAAAATTCCATTTTGAGCTGTCACCTATGCAGGTTATCATCTACCCCCTGGATTTTATTGTATTATAGCAGACAGGATTCCTATGCTCTTGTTATTTTAACCCCCTTCATTTGGAACTGGGTAGTAGTAACACAAAATACTAACTTTTACCCCCTTCTGGAACCAGGTCCTGGTAACAGAAAACGCAAAATCCTTTTCACATTTCATCACAAATGTTTGTGCCATTATTGGGGGTATCTTCACGGTTAGTATTTTCTCTGCTGGTTATTTTCTTTTTATTAGTGCTGTTGGTTCTGAATATTCTCTCAATGGATTTCAGGTTGCTGGAATATTGGATTCGATATTACACAACACATTGAGAATAATGAAAAAAGTTGAATTAGGAAAAAATTTTTGACGCTGTTGGGTATATTTCTCTTATCCCCTTTCCAAGGGGGGATGCTTCTCTCGAGGTAATAGCATTATTTTTCCCTTTTTCTTTTTAAAGAAGACCAATGGGAGTCGGAAATGTAACTTTAAGCAAAACTTGCTTATTGCTCTCTGGCATGATTTAAGAAATGATCTTGGTTCCATGGATCAGGGCTAACCAGTCTTTGATTTCGTTTTTTTTTTTTCTTCTTTTTTTTTGTAGTATGATTAACTCCAGACGTGTACACCTTGGTCCAGAATCTGGCTTTTGGGGGCCTCCTCCTCTTAGGTTGGTTATACCAAGTTCATGTGTATCAGGTGGCATGATTTGCCACTTTGCTCTGGATTGTCAAAATGTCAATTAATTAGTTGTCCGCTTCGTTACAACTTACAAGGTTATGTTTATTGAATAATTTTGGATCTATTAATGAAATGATGTTTGGGCGTCGTTCAGGCAATTTCTATCATTCATTCTGTGGTGCCCAAAGCAAAGGTTCAAAGTATTGATACTCGACATACATACGCATAAGTCTTGCTTGAATCGCAAGTTTTGAAACAGTAATACTTGTTTTCTTTTCTTAGTTCAGTATTTCAAAAATAAATATAATAGCAAGGGTTCTAATGTTTGAACTATGGAGACATCTTAAATCCTAGTATTTAGCATTTCGGTAATCCTAAAAGTGAAAACCTATGTACTGGTTGTTCAGTTGATCCGTGTGTTATGGAAGTGGTAATTATGGACCTAACATTTGTGTGATAATAAGCATTTGTATTGTGTAAAGTGTATTGCTTGGCAACTGAACATTGGAGATAACATGAATGAATGCTCCTCACAAGGAGTTCAGATCTGCTCCCCCGATGGGGCGCCCCACAACACATCTCCGCCTTACATTGGAAATATCTCCCAGTGATGATCTCATCGGGTCTGGTATTATCAACAGGAGATGTTCCCAATACACGGCGGGGATGCGCTGTGGGGCATTGTGGGGCACCCCTTTGTGGGGCGCAGATGTGAACTCCCTCATAAGTTAATAGCATTATCACATCCATGGTCAAAGTAGTAGTGAAGATACGCTTCAGATATGAATTTACCTGATTTGGTATTTGGCTATTACCTCAATAGGCACAATGCCACAATCAGTATATATTTTTTACTATAAAAAAATTCAGTATATAATTATATATTTTCAGGACAACTAGCTTCACTGCTTTGAAGAACAGATGAGTTTATGTTTTTCCAGGTTGTGAAATTAAGATAAGTCGATTCCACTGATTAACTTTTTATAATCGTAGCAGATGCAAAGGGAAAAACACTGACAGCTGAGAAAGCAATGCGACATTGCCGAATTGTTGATTGTTTCATCTCTTGATACAAGAAAAAAAAAAAAATCATATTTCGTCTCAAAGGTAGATAGGTACTATCCCATTCCCATGTATGGTATGATATTCTGCGTCTTCGTATGTTAACAGAAAGTAACTGAAAATTTATTATCTAAAAAAGAGAATAAAGAAGCAAGAAATCACAAACCAAATATTTTAATAAAAAAAGAGGATTAAGAAAGAAGATACCAGTTATCATACAATAAAGGAACTCGTTTATTTCTTATTTACATTGCTCTGTATACGATAAATTTCCCACCGACCCAAGCAGTTAAAATCTTATTTTTCCAATTTTTTACGAAGAAATAAAACACCATGACCAAGCCAATCTTGAAGACACAGATGGGTTCACCGAGGTAACTGTGCAAAAAGGATCAGTAGAAAGGAAGTATTGTGAAAAGGAAAAAAGGAAACAAAAGAAAAACCAATCCGGCTCATACAAATATTCGAAACTCAAAAGGAATCAGAGGATTAAAAGAAGATATGAACCGACAAATGCTCCAATTGAACCGATGAAACTCACCAACACCGAAGAGGCTCCACTTGGAGGGGAAGGTGAAGGTGAAGCTGGAGTCTCACTAGGAGTTGGGGACGGGACGATTTCAATAGAACCAGATGGCGGAGGGGGAGGAGTCAGATTTGTCTCGTTTGAGTTGGGTGGTGGAGGAGCCAAGATTGTCTCGTTTGAGTTTGGAGGAGGAGCCAGTTCTGTGCTGTTTGAGCTTGAAGATAGGTTGTTTCTGTCTGCCATGACTACTACCACCATCTTCTCGTTTTTGAGACAGTTCTCTATACTCCCACTTATAAAGTAGAAGGGTCCAGATTGATTGAACTTGAAGGAAGTGTGGCCATCGTTGAATAATGAAATGGGTTGTGCTGTGCTGCAGTTGGTGTAATCCTCCTTGTTAACTTGAAGCACTGAGTCATTGTCAGGTGGGTAGACGAACACTGCATTAATAGTGAAAAAAAGTAGATGAGTAGTTACAAACTTGCCAACAAATCACTTGACGATGAGCATAAATCATAAGCAAAACATTCCTGTTTACAGTAATTGGCTAAACCCATGGAGCCTGTTTATCACGATTCACCCTCAATTTGGACTATTGATTAATAAATCAATAATTGGCCGATGGGCTCGTCCACATACCCTCCTACCCGAGGCTATTTCCCTTTAAACCTTCAACCTTGTAATCTTGTATGGGAACTGAGAATTCATCACTCATCAGTAATGCCTTACTCAGGGGTTTTGATCGGTCAAAACTCTTTTTATATCATATCTTTTCGGTACAATCTTTTGCAGTCGTGCATTGAGAACATCTCCATATTTATATATTTTTATTTATGAGAAAATATTTTCAATGCACAACTGCAAGAGACTGTGAGGACGGTGTAAGGACAAAATCCCAGATCTGGATGATCAGGTAGGATCAAACCAAACCAGCTCAAAACCAAAAGGACCTGAACCACCTTGTTCAGGCTGTGAATCACTTCTTGCATGGGTGTAGCCCAACAATGGGGCATTGGGGCGCATATACTAGGCATTCCTAACCAAAGTTGAAAAAAAAAATCTCATTAATGGCGTGGTTAAGTTTATCCAATGGATGCAATTAGAACTAATGCCATACAATCAGACCAATACTGCTTGAATGGCCAATCTCATTGTAAAAATTAAATCTTCAACTTACGCAGGGAGTCTCCAATTTGGAATCGATGCATCTCTGCCCATTGATTGTAGCTGGGTGCATTGGGATCAGTGGGCACGGTCCACCCCTTTGAGCCTCCGACCTTGAACTCTGTTGCACCAACTCTTAGCATCAATAGCAAAAGACCAACGATACTTAAAGCATGAAACGCTCTGACTTCGTAATTTGATCTTAGAATGTTGTTGTTGGCCATTTGAACAGATGGGTCTTCAGCTCAAAGGATGGGGACCTAGCCAAAACAACTACTGGGGACTGGAGTTGAAGGGTTGATATGAATTGTGATCATAGCTAGGGTTTTTGTAGGCTTCTCTGCAAGACCTTTACAAGCTGTTTCAGTGAAGCTTTCGCTTCTTTTTTTTTTCCTCTTCTTTCTTTGAATATCTTAACTACTGGTGCAAAGCATATGAGAAGCACTTTATGATGAGCTGGGCTATTCTTATTCCCTTTTGCTTCTACTTATTTAGCTTAGTTTACGAGGTTATCCTTTGCTTGACCATATTAAGAATATTCATGCCTTGTGTCTTAGGTTAGATTGATCTGGGAACAGCGGTCGTCTCACGATTAAGGATGTTCAAATTCAAGCTCAGTTTCCGTCAGTTCTAGGAATTCAAGTTAATGTGAACAATCCGATGCTCTTTATTAGAGTTGAAACAACAATTCTAGTTAAACTTTTTGGACAGCCATGAGTGCTGATCAGTGAATTAAGTTACTTTATTCATGTTTAAGTTTGACATTGGTAAAGCATCTTTAGACTCTTTAGGATTAAAGTATTGCTAAAGCAATATCTAATACGCATCTTCACAAATAAATATTAATATAGTTGCAATTGATACGTAATAACCAATGAGTATTAAATTATAGAAATATTGTTGGGTTAAGGCCCTGTTTGATGATTAAGTATTTGTTAAAAGAAGTACTTGCAATTGATAAGTACTTAGAAGTACTTATTTTAACAACCCTTTAGGCTGTTTGGTAACCCACTTTTTCAAATCACTTATTATGTTTTTAAGTACTTATTGGGGTGAAAATGTTTGATAAGCTACTTTCCCCATAAGTGCTTATATTTATTCAAATAACAATTTTAGCCCTTATTTCTCTCATACATATATACAATACTTTTCAATAGTAGTAGTAGCTACTACTACTACTACTACTACTAATAATAATAATAATAATAATAAATGATAATAATCATAATAATAATAAAAATAATTATTATAAATAATAATAACTAAAATTAACAATAGTAGTAGTAGTAGTAGTAGTAGTAGTAGTAATAATAATAATAATAATAATAATAATAAGACGATGAGCAGGGGAAGGTTGTCGACATTGCAACTCCCCTATTCTCCCTTTGAGCGGCAGAGAGCGTCGACAACCTCTCCTTAGTCTTTCTCTCCCTCTCTCTCTCTCTCTCTCTCTCTCTCTCTCTCTCTCTCCTTTTCTACTTCTTCTCCTTTGTTTTTGTTCTTCTATAACCATTGAACCACGAACAAGACATTGTTCATCTTCCTCTCCAAAAGAGAACCAGCGGTGGCTGAACGTCTCTCTTTTGGTTCTTCGACACCCGAATGGTAGCGACGACTGGATCGAGCTCTGTTTCAGAGATCTGAGATCGAGCTACAAGCTCTATTTCAGAGATCTGAGATCGAGCTACGAGCTATGTTTCAGAGATTTGACTTCAAAGCATAGAGGAAAGAGGCTAAACGGCAAGTCCACCAGCCACGGTTCCTCACCACCAATCGTCGCTGGTGGACCTGCAACTGATGCACTGCTGCTGCTAGGGTTTGAGGATCGAATGAGTGGAGAACGGAGAGGTATAAACTCGCGGGGGTATTTTAGTCATTATACAAATTTGTTAGGGACTGGTTCATCCTAATATTTTGGAGAAGTACTTCTTCAAGAAGTACTTATTAAAAAAAGTGTTCCCTTAAAAAAAGTACTTCTTGGAGAAGTACTTCTTCAAGAAGTACTTAAAAAAAGCCAACTTGAAGTCACTTTTTCAAAGAAGTACTTTTAAAAAAACTACTTTTTCCCCACTTTTTTACCAAACACCCATAAGTACTTAAAAACCACTTAATGTGTGGTCCTATGTCTTAAAAGAAGTACTTATTAAAAGTGTTCTCAAATAGGGCCTAAGTTAATTTTAGACTTATAAAAGGCTTGTTGACAATCTTTAGAAGTTTTAGGCTTAAAACAATGTTTTCAAAACCAGACAGGGTTTAAGGATTAGATATCCAACAGGTATGGAAAACTATCTCTAATGCTTGTTAGAAAGTGTTCCCTTACAAGTTGAAGAGGTGAAGAGGCTAAAAGAGCTAGAGGTAGATAAAAAAAGACTTTGAGTGGAAGTAATAAGAAATGGTTTAAACACTCATCTCATAATATATGGTATAACAGTGAAGAGCATCGTTTTCAAAACCGGATTGGACCGGACCGGACGGTCGGACTAGAAAAACCAAGAATCGATCAGGTGACCAATTCTGTTTTTCACCAAAACCAGATTTTTGCCAAAAATCGTTGATTTTGATTAGTAAATTGCTGACCTGGGCAGTTAACTGTTCAAACGATTTTGACCATTTCTTTTTAATTTTTAATTTTTTTTGTTAGAACGAGCCAATCATTTGGTTCGAACGGTCAAACCGTTTGACCCAGAAACCCGACCCCTGACCAGTTCGTTCTCTGAATCGGCTTTAAAAACCTTAATGAAGAAAATGGAATGATAAAATAGGATTCGACCCCATATAGATGAGACAATGATGATGATGATCCCACATATATGACATACATGGATTTGAATTTGATTTGATTTGAGAGCATAGTGTAAGTATGCACCCTTTTTTCCTTTTTTTTTTTCTTTTCCTATGCTCACATATTTGTGATTTGTCCATTTCCTTTTTCTTTTCTTCCTTTTTCTTTCGTTTTCTCTCTCTTAATTTCCCTCTTATAATCTCTCTCCTTCTTCCCCTCTCCTTCCCTATTTTCCTCTTCCCAACGTCTCTTTTTGGACCCTTTTGGGGTAGTTATGTACCTCAATTAAAGAAAAGAGAGACTCTAGGTGGGAGATCTCCTCTAAAAAAGAAAACACAAATAAAAAAAATAAAACCACTGGGCTCTCTTCCTTTTCTCTGGGGTAGCTATGTATCAATCTCACAAAATCCCATAACAAGGCCATCACACATCACTTACAAGCTCTTCCCACCGATCAATCTTTCGACACTCCAAATATCTTGCAACATTTATTTATTCATCTGTTTTATTTCTTTAATAATATACTGGCGACCTCATTGGCTGAGATGATTTTCATGGTTTTCGAAACCAGACTGGATGGTCAGACCAAAAAAACTGAGAACCAGTCAGATGATTGGTTCTGTTTTATCCCAGATTTATTGTTTTGCCAAAAATCGTTGACCTGAACAGTCAAACCATTTGAACCGTTTAACAGTTTAGCCATTTTTTATTTTTCTTATTTTTTGTTAAAATGGGCTGTCCATTCGATTTAAATGATCAGACTGTTTGACCCAAAAACTGGACCCCTCACCGGTTTATTGTCCGATTCGATTTTATAAACCTTGAGGCACACCCCTACGCTCCACAATAAAGCCACCATTGGCCCCACCTGCCTCAAAACCGACAGACAAAAATCAATGTATGCAACATCTTTGTTAAGAGGGCAAGCTACGTATCATATTCAAGCATAAGGGTATGTTCCAAACGTTTTTTTGTCTTTTCCAGTTCATGTTTGATGAAAATTTGTTAGATTTGAATCTTAAACCACAATATTTACATACATCTCTAGTTCAGTAGGGGTGCTCACGGTTCGGTTTTTGGAATTGAACCAGTATTACCGGTTTTTAGAAAACCGGTAACCAGAACCAAACTGAAGTTAGTCGGTTAATTGGTTGACTGGTTTGGTTAACTGTTGGTTCGGTTCGTCGATTTTTCAGTTTTTAATTTTTACAATATATATTATAAAAATATATATAAATATATAATAAGAAATTATAAATATATATGAAATATTATATTTTAAATAATAAATAATATATAATGTATTATAAATATACATATATATTTATTTATATAATGCATATTTATTAATTTATAATATATAAAATATATATAATATACATAAATATATATAAAATATATAAAAATATATGTATATCGGTTGATTCGGTTAGTCATCGGTTTTCTATATTGGTTAACCAAAACCAAACCGGTACCTTCGATTTTTTAAAAACATCAAACCGAAACCAAACCAAAAAATCGGTTAACCAAACCGATAAGTTCGACTTTTTGGCTTTTTTTGCTGACCCCTAATTCAGACCAATATATTGCCATAAATCAGAATACACGTTTCTTCAATTCAATTTGTTTTGGAGATTTGATTAGGTGTTTTCTTTGGTATATTCATTCATTATGTCATATATAGTTTAATTTTAAGGCTATTGGATTACATTACTGTAATTGTTTAATTATTCTAGATTTCTTCACATACATATATGATCCCCCTTCTAACACCATTTGAAACATTTAGTATAGTTGAACTCTTAATTGAGTTGAAGCGTAGTTTATTCTATTCATTAACTTATTTAACACCATCAACCCTCATTAATTCATTTGTTCTTTATCAAAACCCTATTGCTTGAATTAATTTATCCATTTTCTTTTGCATTTGTTAGTTTATTTATTAGCTTGTTTATTGCTTATTTACTCATTGGTTGTTTATTTACTTATTTACTTACTATTTGTACAATACAAATCACAGGTTAATACATCATCATCTTCTTTACCCATTTCCTCACCAATACCCACTCTTACACTCTCTCAACCCACTGCCCAATCATTTCCATCAGGGGAAACTCTTTTTATTTCCTATAAACCTCAAGACAATCTTGGTTAACAAGTTAATACATAAACAGTTAGATGACCAAAAAACCTTCTTAGAACTTCTTTCCTACATGATCTTTGTTCTTTATCATTTCCCCTTTACGTTATTGTAGTTTCTTTTCCTCCCAATTTTATCTTCCCTCAATTCACTTTGTATGATGGAACCATGGTTTTCAAATAGCCGTTGATCTGGACGGCCGGACCATTCGGCTTGGAAACCATTTAGGCAATCGGTTCCATTTTTCCCAAACCCAGTCTTTGGCAAAAAACCATTGAATCGGTTAACGACCCATTGACCCAGGTGGTCGAACTGTCAACCCATTCAACGGTTGTTGATCATTTTTATTTTTAATTATTTTTTTAATTTTTGTTGTCAGAACGGGCTGT